GCTTATTTATTCAGCTTTCAGATAATGTATAAATCTCAATTTGGAAAAAAATGACACTTATGACTGGTTTTGTGGTCCAGGGTCACATTTTGGAAAATCTTCCAGTTTTATGGAACTGCACACACCAGCTACTAGTCAGGTGACTATAATTACACAGAAAATGGATAGGCTACACAATTAGTTTTAATTTGACATTTGCTGATTTAATTATTAGATTTTCATCACCTCACGAACCCCAGTTTGGGAAACCTTGGTGTAATGCAATGTTTAATGCAGTTTTTAATGTTGATAACAAAGAATGGAAGATATTGTTTACAAGGTAGCTCAAAAGTAATCAAAAAGTACTCAGATTACTTTACCTAGTTTGTGAAATCCAACACATTAAATTATTAACTACAATTTTCATTGTCATTTGTAATCAGTAATGGGCTACAATTTGTATGTAATATACCCAGCACTGGTAATAATCCTCAGTACATAAGGAGACACATTTTTAGTTTATAGGCATTCTAAAAAGCATTCTAAGACTTGTTTAATAGGTATAAATGCATATTTCTTTGAACGTGACAGTACATATATATATGTATATCTCAGCCATGGTGATATATCAGTCAATCACTACTTATGGGAAGTCGTGGCCTAATGGTTAGAGAGGGTTGCGAGTTCGAGTCTCAAGTCCGGCAGGAACTGTAGGTGGGGAGAGTGAATGTACAGCGCTCTCTCCCACCTTCAATACCACGACTGAGGTGCCCTTGAGCAAGGCACCGAACCCCCAAATTTGCTCCCCGGGCGCCGCAGCATAAATGGCTGCCCACTGCTCCGGGTGTGTGTTCACGGTGTGTGTGTGTTCACTGCTGTGTGTGTGCACTAAGGATGGGTTAAATGCAGAGCACTAATTCCGAGTATGGGTCACCATACTTGGCCACATATCACTTCACTTCACTTATGAATGTACATGCATTAGGTTGCATTGTTGGGGTCATGCAGTGTGTAAAAGCCCTATTGAAATGCTACTTTTGTCCACAGATGGTGGAGGGGCTTCTCAACTTCTGTTTCTACACATTTGTGAATAAATCTCTGAGCGTGGAGTTTCCTGAGATGTTGGCGGAGATCATCAGCCATCAGCTACCAAAATTTAAAGACGGGAGTGTCAAGCCTCTTCTGTTCCATCAGAAATGACTGCCTTAGATCATAACAATGCCTTAACCCCACCCTTTTCTCACCAGCGCTAGTCCAACCTGCCCATTTTCCCCAAACAGCCTGAATGAACTGAGGGATACAGTCACTTCTGCTTGATTCTCAGAGGGAAGAGGTGAAGTTTGCTCTTCAGCAATGTTCGTGGAGCAGGACAAAGTTGTGTACTTGGAGCAGACGGAATGTGACTTTGAGAATTGAGAACAATTTTAGTGATATTTTCTCTTTTTTGCATGTACACTGCTGAAATGTTTACAAAGGTATATCAAAAAAGGGAAATGTGCCTTTTTTGCGCTTTGCGAATCAGTTTTGAACATTTCTCAGGCTAACGCAATGACTTGGCATACAACATTTATGTCGATGATTCACGTTCATCACGTCTGTTTCTTCCCTTGTCTAAACCTGCCGTGATGGTTCAGTGTAGGTGGCAGCTCAACGCTCCCCAGAGGTGCTCGAAAATTTGAAGATGCTGATGAAACATAAGATCATATAATGTATTTTTTAAGTCTCATCGAATCTCCAAATCGTAAAACAATTTTGCATGGAGCACCATGAATATTCCACAATATAATTCAGATCAAGATCTGTTCCATGACTGACGGCAAATACTGAATTGTTTCTTTGTTTGTTTGAATAGGTTCCACTGAAATATAATTTGTAGGGATGGGTCACCCAAAAATTCCATTGAATTCTTATATTGGATTTCCCCAAATTATTCCATTGTTTATTCACCCTCATGTTGTTCCAAACCTACGACTTTCTTTACTCCGTGGAACACAAAAGGACAAATTCTGAATAATTCCCTGGTTGCCATTTTCAATTCACTTCCAATGAATGGAGCTTCAAAAACTAAACAAAGACACTACGAAAGTCTTGTAAAAGTGGCTCATCTGTGGCTCATTTTCTGTATTCCAAGTTTTATTAATTCATACAAAAGCACGGTGTGATGAGCAAACCTAAATTAAAGTCATTATTCACTGAAAACCTACCCAGAACCAGATCAGTCCAGTCCATTTAGACCAGGGGTGCCCAAACTCGGTCCTGGAGGGCCGGTGTCCTGCAGAATTTAGCTCCAACCCCAATTAAACTAGGGTGACCATACGTGCCATTTTCTCAGGACGCGTCCTGGCCAGGATTTCTATATTGCCTAAAATATCTAGGTTTTGGCTTTGTTTGCGTGTGCAGATACTCTCGAGGTATTTTGATGTCATACACCGATCGGTCTGCACACGCAAACAAAGCCAAAACCTAGATATTTTAGGCAATATAGAAATCCTGGCCAGGACGCGTCCTGAGAAAATGGCACGTATGGTCACCCTAGTTTAACTTGGGAAAATGGCACGTATGGTCACCCTAAATTAAACACACCTGAAGCAGCTAATCAAGCTCTTACTAATCATACTAGAAACTTCCCGGCAGGTGTGTTGAGGCAAGTTGGAGCTAAACTCTGCAGGACACCGGCCCTCCAGGACCAAGTTTGGGCAGCCCTGATTTAGACATTTTGTGATTTTGATCAACTGGTTTAATATAAAAATGTGACTCAAAAGAAATGAATCAGACATTTTAGTCAGTCCTCATTGTCTGAAAAATAAATAAATAAAGACCAGCATTTTCTTGAATAGTGCATCTTTTAAATACAATAATATATTTATATCTGCCCCCCACAAAGTAGAAAGTAATTTATTTACAAACAAAATAATGTTGAGACTATTATTATATATTATAACTATTATTAAAGGTTTTTTTATGTTGATTACCTCAGGTTCACATAAAATAAATAACAATTTTGACTTGCAAGCATTTGGATACAAAACACGTGATGCTTTTGTCAGATTTCAATCCATTCTGGTCACATTGAGATTAGCGTATCCCAGCATCCCCCTCCTGTCGACTGCCGTGTGTTCATGTCATTTGGTGAATGTTTGTGCGTGTTTAAAGTTGCACATCCACCAGCATCCGCGTTTTTAATTGAAGGTTTTTGGAATGCGCTCTGCATATTCTAAATCTGGTAACCCATACGAGGCCCACAAGTTTTGACCCACTTTTCTTGTCTTTGTCTTTGACGTGTCCCTGTGGTGCCAAGCCACAAACGCACTCTTCTGTGGTAACTTCAGAACAAAAGGAACATTTGTCGTTCTCGTGCTGGGACATGTGTTTGCTCATTGTTACGTGTCAACTGACATTGGTGTCTGCGCTTCAGGGTTTTTGCACCAGCTACGCTTGATTACCAGCGTAAAGGAATAATTCATCCAAAAATTAAAATTCTGTCATTTTTATCACGTTGTTCCAAACTTTTTGTTGTACGGAAAAGTGCTTTGTGAAGATTCTTCACAATGTCGTCTTTTGTGTTCCACGAGATGGGTAAAAAAAAAAAAAAAAGCAAATGGGTTTGGAATGACACACGGGTGAGTAAATAATGACAGAATTTTCATTTATATAATACTCCTTTTTTTTGTTGCACCCGAGTATCCTGCACATTTCTGGAATTTCTAGTGTTTGTGTACATAAGACAATTGAACATTCAAACATTGACCTAACAAAACTATTTAAAAAACTATGTTCATTTGACTCAGATGATTAAGCAATTAATTTTGCCATGCACAGTATCAAACAACTCATGGCGATCAGAGGGTTAAAGGTTAATTTCCAGCAGTGCAGCCATTTTTTGACAGCATGTGAGAGAATCTGCTGTGTGTCATTGGACTCGTGTTTTTGGAGCGTTACAGAGACACTGTTTGTTTAATGCTCATTTCCAACGGCTGATGTGAAGTTGAAATGTCACCGTGCAGATCCCAGCGGATTCCCCAAATATTTTAGTGTATTTTAAGACTATTTTTTACAAATTCCTCGCTAGGTTTGTGAGCTTTCTCTATTTGTTTCACAGTAGGCCTTGCAAAGGGAGTTTTTGAGCCATAAAACATAGGTTGTATAAATTCTGAAGTATGCTGAAATGTCTAAAAAAAAAATTGTGTTTGGTAATCATTGATCATTTTTAAAAGCAACTAAAACAAAAATGTAATTACACAGATTCTCTTTGATATACACATCATTTTACAAGAAAATAATTTTAATACATGAAGTTGTATTGCTATCTTTTTTGTCAAGATCTGTATTGCAGATGCACTTTTGAAAAATAGTGTAATGTAAATGTAAATTCTATAAATCTATAGGGAATATATAGGTAATCACTGTTTTACAGAATGACAGCTTAAAGTTATGTCAGAGATGCAAGTGTATTTTGTATAGTGCAACAGAGTGACCAAAGCAATGCAGATTTAAACAAAAAATAAAATAAAAATCAATATTTTAAAGCAGTTACATTTTACAGTAGCACTTACTACCCGACTCTAGGCTCTTTTTACTTTATTTTATCCTTTTCTATTTCTTTTATAAAGATTTAGGCTTTGGTCTCATGTATAATGCCGTAAAATTAACTAGTAAAAATATAAAGCTGTGTGTAAAAGTAATGTATCAAAGCCTGATAATTTGCACTACTCTAATATTGGCCTGACATAGTATATTTTGTACAAAAATTAATGTAGATACTATCTTTAAAGATTAAGGGCAAATCATATTTCACTGGTATATGGCTTTCAATAAAGTCTGTTTTGTTTTGTTTGCATTTCAGTTATATGTAAAATAATCCAATGTAAATGATATACAATGTCTATTTGTTTGAAAAAAAAAAAAAAGTTTTGTATGACTTCTGTATTACACCTCTCCTGTAGTCAATGTCGATCTTTACACATATTTGATTAAATGTTGGACAAAATTTGTTCAGAAGAAGGGTAGCATCTTTGTTATACTGGGAAATCATTGTGCTAATTTGCTATAGTTTTTCCATTGTATCTGAATGTTGACACAAATCTACACTCGACACAAACTTGTTTGTTGCCTATATCTATAGAATAGTTCAAACAAACCAGGTCCAAATAGACTTCAAAGCAGTTTTGTTATTGAAAAAACAAAACAAAAACACATTTACATCATGTTTAAAGGGGTCATATGATGTTGCTAAAAAGAACATTATGTTGTGTATTTGGTGTAATGAAATGTGTTTATGCGGTTTAAGGTTCAAAAAACACATTATTTTCCACATACTGTACATTATTGTTTCTCCTCT